CTCAAACACATCCAAACACTCAAGTCTGCAGACTCCTTGCACAGGGGGCCGAACAAGGTGCCGGTCGACATACATGGACGCCAATGGCCGAGGCCCTCGAAACCTCGATGCAAACAACATGGATTTGCTTCTATGGCCCGGCAAGCTCACGGCTCACAGCCCTCAGCTGCACACCGGCCATCCAAGCCTTCACGTTCAGGGACCATGCGCATGCGTGCCTAGCCCGAAGGTGGGCAAAGTCAGGGCAGGACACCCGACCATCCGACCATGTGAGTGTGAGTTCAGCAGTGATCGCCTCATCCAGGCAGAGGAAGAAGGAGATGATGCTGTCTGCCGGCACTGGATAGACCTTGCGTCATGATGCAAGACCCTGCGCCGGCTGTGACTGTCAGTGACAGTCGCACAAAGGCACTGACACCACTTGCATCTTTTCCTGCCGGATGCTGGAACCTGGCATATTCAAGCAGCATTGTTTCGAAATCAACTTCCCACAACCTCATTCCTCCAAACCAGCCAGGGCACTTGGCCGGTGCTCTTGCGGCTGTCGTCGACGGCACCACAACCAGCTGCTGGAACGCCTGGATCCAAGCGAGCACTGCTTGTGCTGCAAAAGCACCACTCAGCCTCTGGCTGGATCGGATCGGCCGGATTGACCAAAGCGGCACGGTGGAGTTTCCGACCCTTCTTCCTGCCAAGACCAAACCGAGCCTTGAAAATCCTCTGGCCGACGACCAACGGAGCCGTGAGGTGATCTGACTCTTCCCCTGAATGAGTCCCAAACTGCTGACTCCTGCCTGGTTGAAGTCAAGATTCACAGCTTCGCAGGTCTTGTAGAGCAGGCGAAGCAGAGATCTGCATGCCAGGAGAGCGAGTCGAAGAAGCTGCTGAAAGAGAGAAGGGCCCGTAGTTTCGGGGTTCCAGTTTCGGATCGGCTGCCGCAGGGTACGGATCAGAGGGGGAATAGTTTCGGCGCCCAGTTTCGGCACAGCGGGAGTGAGTTTGGGGACGCGGGTCTGTGGCGAGGTGGGCAGTTTCAGTTCGATTCTTGCAGGACTGGGCCTGAAACTGACCATGGCGTGCGTGAGGCCAAAACTGCCCATGTCCTGATCCGAGGCTGTCCCGGAACATATTCCAAAACTCCCCCCCGAGACTCAGCACCGATACTACCCACGAAAGACAACTTCCCAGTACAGATGCCGAGTGCTAGAATCTGACGCCCTATGGAGCCCGACGATTTGCGTGCGCCTGCCATGGCAGAGAGTCAGATCCAGCCTGGTCTCAAGGTCGTGCTCCTTTCACCTCTGGGTTTTAACTACAAACCCAGAGGAGAAGGAAGGCCGCGCTCGTTTCGCACCTCGGTTTTCGCTATAAATTGAGAGGTGAAGGAAGGCCGCGCTC